GACGCTTTGAACGTAATAAAACAGAAATGGCAGAGTGTGCGCTTATAGAAAAAGCCTGTAGCACCCAAAGGGCTCTCACATCCAAACGTCTACTACTACTGCAGCAGCTTGCACTAACATGTAAATGCTTTTTACGACGCTTTGAACGTAATAAAACAGAAATGGCAGAGTGTGCGCTTAGAGAAAGCATTTAGCACCCAAAGGGCACTCACATCCAAACGTTAACTACTACTGCAGCAGCTTGCACTAAATGCTTTTTACGACGCTTTGAACGTTAAAACACTACGTCAGTCAAACGAGGGATGGAATGAGGTAATGAGGCAGTGGCTCTGTTGCCTTGTGCGAGATGCTTGTGACTACCGTCGTTTTTCCTGTTGCAAGACCTGCCTGCGGTGAGGATTAAGTGGTGCACCTGGTCTGGTCTGGTCGGTTCTGGTCTTGTCTGGTTGGTGTGAAGGACCATAGTAGCACGGATTTGACGCTAACAGGAATGGAAAAAAAAAAAAAAATCAAGAAAAATCCAAGGGAAAAGACAGTTTAATTATCACTTGTGTTGCCCAAGCTCGGGCCGGAGAGATCAGGGTCCCGCCGTGCCAGGAGCCATGGGGCCACAAGTCGGTGGTTTCTACATGTTGTTGCCTTTCCTGCGCGAGCCAGCCTGGCTGATGCACGGTCGTGCTATGGGAGATGTTGCAAATCAGGGCAACCGCGCTCCGGGTCACTCGTTATGGGGGTTGTCCCTCTCTTTTGAAAAGGGCCATCGACATGGTGCCATTCACATTCACATCAATAATTCTCTCTCTCTCTCTCTCTGCCGTCTATAATGCTGCCTCTGCCTCTGTTTCTTTCTGGCTCTGCTTAGGCTCTCTCATTCCGTGTGTGTGTGTGTGTGTGTGTGTGTGTCCATCTCCCATTATGTCTTCGTCTTCTCTCTCTGTCTCTGTCTCTGTGTGTACCGTCTGGGGTTTTCTTTAGCTCCTGCTTCAACGTCGCTCTGCGTTGGGCAGCTAGTGTGACGTGAAGCACCACCCCCCCGCGCCCTGCTCCTCGCGCCCTGCTCCTCGCGGCTCTTCCCTGTCACGATGGACCAGAATGCGGGGCCACATTGATCATGTCGCTGTTGGCGGTTGCGCCCGACCCCACATGACTGATTGA